GCTCAGATGCCCTAGTGAACACACCATCAGGGTGGTGTTGCTGACAACTCATGAGTAATACTCTACAAAAACTGGGAATCAGGAGGGGAGGCCGCACGACCCTTTGCTGATGAGGAGGGAGCAGGGTTAGAGCCAACCCAGCTGCCTGTGGGCTCTTGCAGATTAAGGGCCATTTCCACTCAGGAAAGAAATCCAACCACAACCAATAAAATAAAGAAAATAAATCATGGTTCCTCCAGCAGCTTTTCCTCCAGGAGTATCTATTTTTAGTGAGAAGCATCAATCACTACAGCTTGCTGTCTGCAACAGCTCCAACAGGCAAAATTCAGTTATGCATAGTTGGGCCAACATGGGCACACACACGTTGTCCACCTGTCCTGCCATTCCCCACCACCACCTGGCCACAGCGACACCACAGAAAGAGGACAAACAACAGTCCAGCAGTCTTGGCTACACCATGGTACTGGGGGATGTTCTACTTCCCCAGCTGTGGAAAAAAAGGCACAAGGCAACTAAGGAATGTGCCCAAGGCCATACAGTAAATCATCAGCAAACCAGGACCCAGCAGGGCTACCCTCTGCCACTGCTGTAACCCCTGAAAAAGCATCCTCTTCATATGGGACAACTCATTAACATTTGGGAGTTTTCCTCAAGCTTCCTAACTTCTGGTCACTGAAGATTCTGCAGCAAAGAGACAAATCCCTGCATCTTACCAAAATAGCTCTCCCGACGTTTCACTGGGAGATACACACTGAACACAATTATCACACCCAGTTGAGAAAATACACATTGCAAATGCAAAATAGAGGATCCCCCACTCCCCAACACAGAGGCATCATTACAACACAGAGCACACGGATACAACACGGCATTGCACGCACACACATGCTAGGCAGGCACAGTACACGGAGCACCGGAGCTCCCGGCACAACCAGCATTCACTAAATACACAAACCAAAGAGCACAACAAAATGAAATGACAATACAGAGAGGGGTTCTAGTCACAAACTAAAACAAAACCGACCAACCAAAAAAAAAAAAAAAACTTACATTGATTTTTGGCAATTTTCCTTCAGACATTATACACAGCAGCTGGGCTGTGTACTGAATACCTGATCCAAAAAGAAATATAACCACATTATGCAAACAGATGGGGGCAGGAGTCAGGTGAACATGCAGCTCTTAACAACATTCATCTACGGGCTGAGAAAGCACCTCTGCATTCCCACAGAAGGGCTCGGATCGGGGAAGATCTTCATTCACTACAAAGCAAAAGCAAGTGCTGTGCTGCTGCCATCCCAGGGGAAAATCCAAATGGCAGGACAGAACAGAGCCATCGCGTCAGAGACCTCTGAGCTGTCCCGTCCCCTTTAACTTGTCATGTGAGGTTTAAAACAGAGGTGGGAAATATCCTGTGTGGGGGAGGAAACCTTTAGAAACCCAAAAGGAAACCCTTTATCTGCCTTCAAGAAAGAGCACTAAAATCACCGTGTAGGCAGGACTAGCTGGGATCATCCCCACACTTAAGGTTTTTCGGAAGCACCCAAGGAGGGGGACATCACCCTTTCCCCGTGGCAAGGAGGGTGCCTCAATCTCTGAGTCGGCGGATCGCCGCTCAGGAGGAATGGACTTTTTATGGACTGTGGGAAACAGGGTTGCTATGATACAGGCAGAGGCATTTTCATGAATCCTGTGGCAAATAACATTGAATCCTGCTTAAGCAGACAAACAGCAAGGCAGGTCTCCCATCACCCAGCCTCAGCAAACACGCAGCAGCAAGCACTGAAAGAGATTTTATGCCTTATAAATATGCTATTTGCAGACAAATGAATATTTTTTTTTCTTTGGGGCTGTATTTTCCAGAGGGTCAGCATTTCAATTCCTTTAAAGGAATGATCCCTCTTCCCCATCCTTGGGCTTGAGCATCCCCGCAAACGTGAAGAACTCAATGTTCACAAAGCTGGTGGGGGAGTCATGGGGCCAAGCTACCCCCAGGAACCCGACTGCGGCCAGCGACACGTGTGACCCGGATCGTCCCACGAAGCTCAGCAAGAAGGAAAGCTCCTCTACATGTAGATATTTTACAGCGTGCAAATGACACCCCGAATTTTGCAAGCACAGTCACTTACGAGCACAGGGGATCTACTGCAAGTGACTGGGAGCGCTGTCACCCCAAAGAGCTCCCAGTGCAGGCTGTCAGGGACTGAGCCGCTCCTGAAAAGCACGGCAAGACGGAGTTAACTGGCTAAATGCTCCCGGCGCTCCGAGGCTCTGCTGCAGGCTTGGGAAATGGCAAACTGCAGGTGCAAAACTATGAAATTGAGGCTGGGGCAGGTGGCTTAAGGGCAGTTTGAAGAGGTGTGGTCACTGAGGCCTGGGGTGGGAAACAAAGATCAAACTAAACAAGCAGCAAGCCCAGCCCTTGCTCGCTTTTTAGGCTCATTTCCTCTTTCCCAACAAAATTCCAAGAGGGATCCTGAGATAACAAGAACGGTGCTGCTACAATAACAAAGTTTGCTGCTCCCAACTTTCCTATTGCTGTGCATTAACTTTCCTGCTTTAACTCCACCAGCCTTCGGGAGAATAAAAGGCAAAAAGTTGTAATAAAATCACATTCATTCTCTCAAGCACGTTCCATGATGGATAAAACGTCAGGTCCCAGCGATCCCTCCCCAGCAGCTGAGCGTGCACGACCCCTCATCCTCCCCATGCACCCACCAGCCGAGACCGCCCCGCACACACAACCCCGCGGATGGAACCAGAAGGGGCTCGTAGGGATGAGCATGGGACACGGCAGACCCAGCACAGGCAATAACATCCACTTCCCAAATATCTCCACAGTCCAGGCTCGGGATCAAGGAATGCACTAGGAAACCGTGACAGGTACTGAGCATTCCTCATAGAAATCATATTGAAAGGTAAACCTTCGTGCCAGAGTGCCAGCCCTGAGAAAATAAACATTCAGGCACAGCCACATCCCAGTTGAACTCACTGGTTAGTTCAGGGATTGAGTTTTTTCTCATTTTTCCACCCTTACTCCTCCAAATCCCTATGTCGCTTAAAGCTCTTGCCCTGTTTGATTGATTTTCTCTCCATGGTGATCTCGGCTCATTTATTACATTTCCAGGAGATTCTGCAACCCATAAAACTAATGACAGAGGATGGCCAACAGGCAAATAAAGCAAATTTGAGCTGTTTAACAACCCAAACCATCCTCAGCATCAATTTTATTTATTTTTTAGGAAAATGAGATTGACTCAGTCCCCTATGAACTGAAGTCAGTACTTCTTGCAGACAGCTACAAGTGAAGAGGGGGAAACAGAGCCAGCAGGCACCGGAGCATCTTCCTGTGCTTGTATTCCTGGGTCCTGCCTTTTCTCCCCATTAAAACAGGCTACAGCCCCTAAATACTTCTGGTTAGCTTTTGGGACTGATTGTTACAACCCTGGGAAATTTTTTTTCTTTTATTTACAGCTAAAACCACTTTGAAACTGCCGAATTTTCAGGATTTAGCTCAATTTCCAACCGTGCCACCAGCTGAAAAGCAATCAGCTCCCGAGCCCAGCTCAGCACTGAACTCACAGCAGACAGATCCTCACAGGGAAATAACTCCACGTCTCCATGTATAAGCTCCAGCTTTGTCTTTATGGATCAGTTACATGATTTTTTTCCCCCAATTAATAAAGGACATCAGATAAATAACAGACAGCTGGAATTAGCACAAACTAGTTCAACTATCAAGGCAATAAAATTCCAGTGACCATAAGCAAGAGATGAAAAACTGATACTCTTTTGTTTCGAGCAATTCTGATTTTTCTGGGGGAGAAAATAATACATAAAAGAACCCTTAAGACTTCTAACAGAAGCACAGTACAGAGCCATATTTTCAGGAGGAAAAGACGTTACTCTTTTCAGACATTCCCTTCGTATTCCCTCCAAACTTCAGGCGCTGCCACTGGAGCCCCCAGCCAGCCCTGCTTCCACACTGTAAACACTGTAATTTGGGTCTAGAAGCACCTCTAACTACTGGACACCTTTTCAGCAAGCCCATAATATACAACTTAGCACTTCATTTTCAAGAAAATCAATGTAAATAAAGTCACGCAAAACAACCCATCTCAAAACCTCCTTATCCTTGAGGTGGGCGAAGATTTTTCTTACGTACATTCCCCAAAATTATATATACACATACACATGAAAGAAAAGAAAGCCAAAATCAGATTTCTTGAAAATCAAAGCAAAACCCAACCCCCCCATATCTGTTGCTTTAGCAAAGAAAAACAAAGCTTGCATTCCCCTTTTTCCCTTTGATCCCTCCTTCCGAATTTGCAGAGACAGAAACCACATACAATCAGAATAAAAACCCAGCAGGTTACGTTTCAGTCCCTCTCACATCTTTAGAGAAACAAACTAGGTTACATCAGCGTGGACGTAGAATTTGGAGGCTTTGGGGCTGAATATTGAGAAATCAAGGCAGATCATCAAGGCAACACAGATAAATACGGCAAGTAGAATTTCTCTTTTTTTTTTTTTCTTTTTTTTTTTTTTTTTTTTTTTTTTTTGTGGCTGAATGTTATTTTAGCAAAGATTTAATCCTTTAATAGGATTTCTCATACACCCCCCCCTTAAAAATGTCCAGAGTTCGACCCAATTGCACATACCACCACCTCTCACCTGGCACCTACATGGTTACTCTCACAGACATTGCACATTAACTGCTTGCTAGATATTGCACACAAAATGACTTATTATTAACTTGAGTCTCTGTTTCAAAGGAAGCAAAACAATACAGCCAGTGCTCACCACAGACAGATATTTTCACTCTGCTTCTACCTAAATAAGTATAGCTCTATCTCGCCAGCAAAGAACCATAGAGGAATGGATCACTGTTATTATTTATCACAGTTAAAACCCAGGCAAAAGCAGCTACACTTACAGGCATACTTAAAAGACAAGACATGACAAAAGATTTAGGGAGAGATAATTTACCAACGTCATACATATCACAGCGAGGCCATGTTGAAGCTCAACGCGTTTCCCCCCTCAGTAAGAAATCTCTCTCTCTCTTTCTCTCTCTCTCGCCTTTCTCTCTCTCTCTCTCCCGCTCGTGCTCTCTTGTTGAATTGCTAGTGGTAGTAGTAGCCCCCAACAGCTCAGGAGAAAAAATCCATTTAACGAGTGCCCAGGAAGAACATGAGTATGACATTCACAAGCAATAGCACCACAATCACTGCAAAAACGACCACCGTTTGAACATCCAAGGTCATGGTGCAATGCAGAACACTGTAGTGTTCGAGATGTGGGGCTGGCAGATTTGGAGAAGTCAACCTCTGCTCTGTAAGACTGTCCATACATCCACCATGCTAGAATAGAGGAGAAAACTGTTCCTGGTTTTGGGTTGGTTCGTAATGCTTTGTGCTCTGCCTTTAGTTTCTCCCCTATCTGCTGTCTCTAGCTCATTCTGAGCCTGCTAAGTGAAGCATCATCACAACCAGTGAGCACTTTGGATGCAAAATCCTTCCTTTAGGAAAAGAAAGCGAGCGCTGTCTGCAAGCTTCTCTCTCTCTCTCGTCCCCCCTCTCTCTCCCGGTCTCTCTCTTGCTGGCTGGCTTGCTTTTTAATTCGTCAAGCCAGTGCAGATAAGGAGCCCGTGTGAGTGTGACAGCTCTGCAAGCTGCTGCGGCTGCATCTCTCGGAGCGAGGCGGACCCTTGCGCATACTAATCAGCTCCAGTGCCCAGGCAGCGAAGGGATCCTGGCTGTCACTCAAGCGCAGAAGGCAGCGCTGGCTCCATAAATACGGAGGCTCCCGCCCGCCG